TTTTCCTTTGGAGAAAGACCCAATTACAAAGGCGTGTGGGTTTTTCTGAGGATGTTTCCTCTGTCGAGGTTACATTCAGCTCTTTAGCAAGAAAAATGCCAATGCAATTAGTGGCTCTGGGGAACCATTAGCCATTTGTGAGCTATTTCAGAAGAAGCCACTCTGAGATAAGCTTCCTTTTGGAAGGTGCTCGCATCCTAACCACTTGGCATGTGCTTAGAATGGAAATAGACAGTCTCACAAGGACATCCCTGTCCTGTATTCTACATTCAAAGATATCATGGCAGCCTGTAATGGGGCCATGGGTTTCTTTTTCCCATTCCTCTTTGCTTACCTCCAGCGAGTGAACTCTCATTTCCTCCTTAACATTCAAGAATGTTCTCTGACACTCTTCCAAAAAACCCTGCTGCCAGAAAAAAGGAATACATAGCTGCAAGGAAGTTAGTCATTTCCTAGGTGACAGTCTAATAAGAAACCCATTTGGGGATAATAGCTCAATTGGAACTAATTCTCCACTGTCCCTTGTGGTGAGGAAATAGCATGTGTGAATTAATGAAATGTCCTGGTGCCTTGTCCTCTGTTTATTGAAAGGATGGTGTTGCAGCTTAGGGTTGATCAACTTGTAAGTAACTGGAAATAATTAATTATAAAGATAAGAGGAATATTGTTTCATCTTTTATTGACTGAGACAGCCTGGGATCCTGCAGGTACACATTAGAGCTGAAACAGCTGGTGCTTGCCAGTGGCTGAACAAACCATGCAGATTAAGGAGATTCTGGTTAATAGAATGCCAAAAACCAGAATTAAGTATAGCACTCAAGCATTAGTGCAGAACATAATAGTCATCCATCCCAAAGACAGTAACAGAGACTACACTATTTTAATGGCTTCAATAAAATATTCTCACATTGGAGGAGGGGAGTCAATGAGGGGAAACACTGTATGCTTTGATAATATGTTACTAGGAGAAAACAACCACTCTTTTGTTATGCAATAGACATCTATTAAAGCTTTTAAATGCATTTGTGAGGTTTTCTTTTTCATCCTGCTACACAAGAGACAAGTCAAAAAGGATAAAAATAGATAAATTGGAAAGGGATCAGATCCTTCAAGCTAAGAAAAGATTGACAATGAGCAGAACCAGTTATAATACATCGCCCTGTAGCCTGAGAAAGGCCTGCAGCGTCTTGGCTGTGTGGGTCTAACTAGATACTTTTCTCCAAGACCCCAGGACCCTGACCTAAGTCAGGCTTTAGGATTTCTCTGAACACCTAACTCCCTCACACTGTTGAAAATAAAAATTGTGTTTCAAAGTCAGGCATCCATGGCTCACACCTATAATCCTAGCTACTCAGAAGGCTGAGATCTATCTGAGGATTGAGTTTTGAAGCCTTGGGGCAAGAAAGTCCATGAGACTCTTATCTCCAATTAGGTACAAACAAAACAGAAGTAGAGGTATGGATCACATGGTAGAGCATCAGCCTTGAGCAAAGCAGCTAAGGGACAATGCTCAGACCTTGAGTTCAAGCCCTAATACCAGGCACACACGCATGCTTACACACACACACACACACACACACACACACACACACACACACACACACACACACACACACACTTTTCCCACTTATTCTGTTTTCACAGCTTTCAGCAAAAACACATTCCATAAGTTGCCTATTGTTTTGTCTATTTTCACACAATCTTGATACTATAAACTTTATTTAGGAAGTCTTATACTTTGAAAACAGAACAATATGTTGCTATGCCTGCTTCCTAGTGGTTTCAGTCTACCCTCAAAACAGAAAGGTCTTGAGCAAAGATGTCTTTGTTGATTCCTCTGCCCCACAGGCTCCCAGCCAGGGAACTGTCCTCCAATGGCCAGGAGTCTGCCTGGGCTTGTGTCACTTGGTAATTGCTATTAAGTTCAGCTAAACTGAAATGTAAGATCTCTCTCAAGTTCCCATTTGTAAAAGGAAAAGCATTCTTTTCCTTTCTCTCTACAAGAAAGAGATTGCCTTGCAGATAAAGACTATTTAATGCAAGGGGGGAAAGAAAAGCAGTTAGACTATTTTAGAAACATTCCAAGTAATTAAGAAGTGTTTTTCTATATATCATTTGCATTCCAAAGTCTTCGGCATTGTCCTAAATAAAATAAACATGGTTGATGGAAACTACATCTTTTTTTAAAAAAAATACACAGATCATTTCCACCAGACAATATCATGGAGGGTACATTTGGATACTGCATGCTGAGAGATACAGAAAGGACAAGACTGTGGGAAGGTTGTCAAATCACTAACTTCACTTTGTTGATGATTTATCCCAAGTACTTGTCATCTGTTATCTAGGAACAGTATGATTGTCTCTGTTAAGTGTCACCTAAATTTGAATCCTTCTTTAACTTAGATCTGTGCCTTGGGAAACTGGTATTGACCTTCCATGAACCATTCGTAGCCTTGTGGCAGTTATCACAACTATTTATTCATTCATGCACTTGCTTGTTTAAATGTATTTTAGTACCTGCTTTGTGAAAGACAATGTTTTAGATAAGACAATGGCCCAGAAAGCTTAGGGTCTGTTCACTGAGATACTTATGAATCTTTAACAACATATAAAGCACCAGGTATGTAAAGCTGGGCTAAGCCAACATGTAGGAAAGTTGAGAGGACAATGTTCTATGTCCAGGATAATCTGAGGTAGTTTGCTCTACAGAAGGTGTTGCACTTTGTTTGAGTGGTAGGAGATAGTGAAGAGTGGAAAATTTAGGGACAATCCTAGCAAATATTTGAGACAGAAAACAGAGAGCTCCAAGAACTTGGAGTCAGATGTAGCTTGACCCACACCAAGTAGAGCTTTAAGCTTTATACACAGGGATTTTTAAATACTTGTGAAACTTTTAAATATCTACAGTACATGGTTATTTGTCAATTCAACAGCTTTTGCATAATGATAGTAATATTTAATCTCATTAGAAGTCAAGGTCTTCTTTGAGAGACAAGTCTTAAAGTAGAGAAGTGTTAATGATAACTATTTGTAGAGATGTTACACCACAGCAGAGACATATGGCTATAAGGATGGGGTATTGGTGTTGGTGTGGTGGTCATGGGGCTTGAACTCATGGCTTAGATACTGTCCCTGAGCTCTCTTGCTCAAGGCTAATGCTATACCATTGAGCCACAGCTCCATTTCCAGTTTTCTGATGGTTAATTGGAGAGAAGAGTCTCATGGACTTTCCTGCTTAGGCTGGCTTTGAACTGCGATTCTCACATTTCAGCCTCCTGATCCACTAGAATTACAGGTGTGAGCCACTAGTGCCCAGCTCTGATCCACAGTTTTTAATTGCCAATTTGTAAATCAACATATAACACTAAAACAGAGTTTTTCCCTTCCCCTCCCCAAATTAGAAAAGTGTATATACAAGATGCAGGTCACTGGCATCAAATATAGTGAAAACAGGGGTTATACTGTGGGGGCGGAACATACCAAAGAAACAACAAAAAAAAAAAAATAGTACATTATAAGTATGTTAAAAACAATAGCAAGAAAGGAAAAAACCACTTGAGTCCCTATCTTGCGGTTCATTTTCCTTAACATCATCTTATGTGGTCATATGTACATAGCTTTTGACCTTTTCTGCTTGTCCTAGATGTATACTAGTTATTGCAAATAAGGGAAACCATGGGACCTATGTTTCTTTGGGCCTGGCTTACTTCACTTAATATAATTTTTTCCAAGTCTTTCCATTTCCTAACAAATGGGGCAATGTCATTCTTTCTGATGGAGGCATAGAATTCCATTCTGTATATATATGACATTTTCTTGATCCAAGTCTTTCCATTTCCTAACAAATGGGGCAATATCTCTTTTCTTGAGCACTGTACCATCACACTAAGAACACTACCGGGCATTCTACTGGAGATATACTATATGCAATCATTGAATGAATAAATTAGTAAATTAATAAACACACCTGTTCAGAAGGTTTTACACACCCTAAAAATATAATCATTTGCCATTAATAATCCAATTAAATATAAAAAAGTATCAGCAATAACAATTATCTTCTATAATTTTCAGAGTAATATATCCCTACCAAAAGTGTTTATATGAGGCAGAATGTGGTGGTAGACATGTGTAATCCCAGCTCTTAGAAGACTGAGGCAGGAAGACCAAGAGTTCAAGATCAGTGGGCTACATAGCAAGATCTTGTTTCAAAATTTAAAAAAATAGTCATATGAGTACCATAGTGATATGTGAGAAATAGAATATAAATAATCTTAATTCCTTCATTTCCATAAAAGCTTTGTGGTGTCATGTGTCTTGGGTGTTTTTTAGCCTTTTTTTTTCAAAATGAAACAGATTGGAGAGTAGAATGTAAAATATCACCATGCATTGCATGTGTTAGGACAGTTTCAAGAAAGTCTTCTTTGTGTCGGGGGCAGGGATCACAATGTAAAATTATTTTTCACAATGATTGAAAGTCAATATTCACTCTGCTGTTTTCCATGTTACCCTAATCCCTTATCTGACTGCTGTCATAGCTCTTCAAAGACAGCCTTGAATTGTCATTCCGCAGTGTTATAATTCCACATAGGCCTAGTTGCAATGAAATCCTTCCCACAAATGCACACACACATTGAATTTCTTAGTATTTTCTCATAGATCAATTTACTTTAACCTCTCTCGCAGAATGTCTGGACTTATTTTACAGTGCCTTCCCAGGAGTCTTTCCACTGTAGAGACAGGACTGCCTTTAAATTACTCGGGAAAACATGCACACATGCACGTGCTTGCACGTGCGCCCACACACACATACACACACACACACACACACACACACACACACACACACAGATACACACAGTAGAACCATGGTGAGATTTGCTGTACTGCAAATCAATAATTTGAAACGATTATTTGATGAATAATAGACGTGCTTGTTACAATAAAATCTGTTAATTTCTTTTTTCCTCTTGTTTTCCTCTCTTCCTCTCTCTAAGCTGCCTGCCTTGTGCTTGGCTGTATGATTTTCCCCGATGGCTGGGATTCAGATGAAGTGAAACGGATGTGTGGAGAAAAGACAGACAAGTACACCCTCGGAGCTTGTTCAGTCCGCTGGGCATATATCCTGGCTATTATTGGAATTTTGGATGCCCTGATCCTCTCGTTTCTAGCATTCGTGCTTGGTAATCGACAAGACAGCTTGATGGCAGAGGAACTGAAGGCAGAAAACAAAGGTAAGAAGATTGCTTGGGAATTTTTACTGGATGCCTTCATCTCTCTCTCTCTCTCACACACACACACACACACGCACGCACACACAGAGGTGCTCACACCATAGCCGCCTCCTCTTTCCAGTGCTAGTGCATTCTGAATATTGTCAATTGATTCCATGTAAATGGATACTTTTACAGTTTGCATTGAGGTATTAATAGCTGAACTTTTTCACTATTATTTTTTTCTGCTAAAAAAAACAAGATGTCCTTATTTGGGTCCCAGGATAATGCAACAAAACAGAGGCAAATCCAGTCCTAGCTCAGAATTTTAGAAGAATCTACCAACCTTATGATGCCTCTGGTGCAATGTCTGATCTCAAGCCTGGGCTTGAAGGACTAAATCAGTCCTCCATTCCTGTCCTATTTGGCATACTGTCTGGTGGTCAGCCTCATGTCATGGTCACGTATTCTTTGGCTACAGTCATCAGCTCAGCAATATACCTGTGGAAGAGCCACTGAGAGATTCGGGGTTTCTATGTATCTTTACAGCAAGAACATTGCTGCGATCTACAAATCCTTCTTGACAACCACTCATAGATAAGACAGACTCTCTGCAACAAGAATGCTAGAACATATCAGGGAGAAGGAGAGAGCTCAGTGCTACTTGTTGAAGTATGCTTCACTCATAGAGTCTCAAGATGAAAGGGAATAGAAGATATTACACAGCTAGAAGTTGATCCTCACAGTGGTGCTAGTCAAGGAGATGGGGGGGAGGGGTGCATAAGGGAAAGTCCCTTCCTCTCCAAGCTGCCACCTCTTAAGATGCACCTGCAGTGACCTTTCACCTCAGCCCCCATTAAAGTGTTTCTTATGCCTCTCCTTTTCAAAGAAGTCTCCTTAGCATATGTTGTGAAAGGGAAAAATTGAGACTTTTAAGATACCTTCAAGAAAGAGAAAATAATTTAGAAGATGCAAATGTTATCTTTAAAAAGAACTTCTATTAGAGGTGAAGAAAATTATCTATGGAGCTCTATCAAAATGCTAGAGTATTTCTTCATAGAAATAAAAACTATTTTAATCCAACTAACTTTGTACAGAGTAGGCTGCTCAGAACTGGCAAAAACTGCCCACCTTGCAATCTGTGGGCCTCCCTAGCCTGAAAATAATGGGCAAGATACCCAGGATTCCTTTTTTTTTTTTTTTTTTTTTGGTGCCAGTATTAGTCTTGAACTCAGGGCTTGCCATCCCTTAGCTTTTTCACTCAAAGTTGGTTCTTACACTTGAGCCACAGCTCCACTTCCAGCTTTTGCTAGTTAATTGGCAATGAGTCTCACAAATGTTCCTGCCTGGGTAGGCTTTGAACCTCAGTCCTCCAATCTCAGCCTCCTGAGTAGCTAAGACTACAAGCATGAGTCACAAGCGCCTGGCAAGTATTCATTCTTGTTTAGCAGTTCAGCATGACTTCTAAATGAGCCAACAACAGTAGGCATTTAACCTCGATATGCTGCTTAATTGCATATTTTAACACATTGAACTGTGAAGTCAATTTAATTATGTAAAATTAAAGTTTCATCCAGATAAAAAAGGATTTGAAATGAAAGCTTCAATTTCAATTTCTTTCATTAATTGTGAAAGGATAAATAATTACATTTTCCAGATTCCTATGCCACAAATATCTCTTTCCTTGTCAGACATCATTTATAAAGAAGTCTGTTTCTACATTTGTGTGTGGTCTTTAGAATTGCTTATCAGATAATTGGGTCTTCTCATGAGCAGTTTTAAAGTCACTTTGTCTTGAAGCACTTAAACTGCAAATGAGAAAACATGATTATCCGTCAAGAGGTGACTCAAGCTCCGTTTATTTATTAAGTGGTTTAAGCATGTCTGAACGCTATAATAGGGGAAGTTAGAATGAATTTATTTCATTTAACTAATTGACAAATTCTTTGGAATTTCACTTTCAAGGAATCACATCAGGCCCTGGCCACATTGTGAGTAACAGTGTTGCACAGTACAAAGAAAGCATGCACTCAGAGCCAGGCTGCCCTATGCTATTGCTGTCCTTGCCACCAGCTGAGACCAACATCTTAACCATTCCTGAATTAAGCTTCTGTTTATAAAATGCAAGGCTTGTCTAAATGGCATCTGAAGTTCTTCCTAGCTAAAATATTCTGATTCGAGGACACCTTCAGAGGTATCCTTTAAAAAGAAGATCTGGGGAAGGTAAAAGCTTCTGCCCTCAGAGCAGTGAACACACTAAATATTTTAAGGATGACTAGGAATCAAGAAATACAAATGTCTTAGAGAAGAAGTTATAAGATACCTTGGCTGTTTTCTGCCAGTGATCTGTACTAGCCTACACATCCCCACTGCCCATGCTTCCCAGGCCCATTCATAACATCAATGAATCCAGTTTAGAAACTCTAGCCCCTAGAAAAATGGGCCTTCTCACCTAAGTAGGTTCTGATAATACGTAGAGTCCATTTCGATACCTAGATGGTAGATGGAGTCCCAATTCAGAGATAAAACACATTTCCCTTCTCACAACCAGCAGGTATTGACTCTGTGATTTAGACTAGGCCATGAGCATCTTCGAAATTCAGCTTCAACCTTTGTAAAATGACACCTCCTCTATTGGTTGGAAGAATCCAAAATAAAAGCAAATGGGTGGAAGTCAGTTATAGCCAACAGTGTATATATAGTTTTTACCTATTACTAGCACTTTTCCTATAGGAAATTTTTACTTGCTATTTGAAACAACACCTCACCATAGTTAACATCACCCTCATTTTAAGGGGCAAGAAGTACAGTATTTTGTCTAAATCTTCACAACTAAGAAGAAATGGATTTGAACTCAAACACAAATTGTTTACTCAAACTCAAGCTCTCAGTTTTGTACATTATGTAATTATTTCTTAAGAGATGCTGCTTCTGTTGATCTCAGCCTGACCAGTCAGCCCAGTGTAAAAGGTTAGTCTTGTTTTCATTTGGTAGCTTTTAAATAAGGTTATGTAACCAAAAGTTTAATTCATTTGAGAATAGCTTTTAAATACTTGTTCTTTTTTAGCTATCAAATTTTACTTTAAAAAAACAGTGAAATAAGATCAGGAAACCCAAGAAATGAAAGCATCTTCATGTGCTTTGAGTTACAACTGATAAGGGCATAGAATATTGCCTGTTTTCTGTTGGGATTTGGGTTAAACAAGGTCCGGTGGTCTTCAAAGAACTTCAGAATGGGCATCAAAAACTGCAGATAGCTGAGCACCAGTGGCTCATGCCTATAATCTTAGCTGCACGTGAGGCTGAGACCTGAGGCTCACTATTTGAAGCCAGCCCAGTCACAAAAGTCCATTGACAAAACTGAGCTTCTCATACTTCTCACAAAACCTCTTCCTCTTACTTCGTGTCAACTTTATTTCTCCGACTTCTCAGACTAACTAATCAGTTTCTTCTCTTCCTACCACAACTATCATCTAACTATAAAAAAATTAAAATCTTCCCTGGCACCAGTGGCTCACACCTGTAATCCTAACTACTCAGGAGACAGAGATCTGAGGATCACAGTTCAAAGTCAACCCAGGCAGGAAAGTCCATGAGACTCTTCTCTCCAATAAACTACTTAAAAAAGCCAGAAGTGATGCAGTGGCTCAAGTGGTAGAGTGCTAGCCTTGAGCAAAATGAAGCTCAGGAACAGCGCCCAGGCCTAGAGTTCAAGACCTAGAACCAGAAAAAAAAAAAAAACTCTTGCCAACTATACCTTCAAAATATGTCCAGACTTTTACCAGTACTCACCCCTATTCTTGCTATCATCTTGGTCCAGGCCATCCTTCTCTTTCCCTGATGTCCCTGCCAGAGAGCCAGCATGGGTTTACTGGTTCTACCTAGTCTAATGTCAGCAGAGCCACTGGTGTGATCCTGTTACAGGTAAACAGGATGGCATCATTTCTCAACCCAACACTCTCCAATGGTGTCAGATGATCTCACTTAGGAAAAGCCAAGTCATTGTCTATAGTCTTTGAGGACATGCAAATCTGCCTCAGTCTTTGCCACTTAGTGATCCTACCCTCTTACCCCCATTACTCAGGCTTTCCTGTCCCTCAGAGATACCTTGGACATTCCCTCTGCAGGGCCTTTGCACTTGCTGTTTACTCTGCCTCCCCCAACCCTCCTGGCTCCCTCCCTCACATTTAGCCCAAACGTCCGGTTTTCTTTGAGGAACACAGACATATTTTACTTCCTTTTCTTCCCCAAGGAAGATAAGAGCAGGATTTTTTCCCTCTTTTTTCACTACTGTATCTTCAGTACATAAATAATAGGACATAGGTGCTAAAACATGATGTAAAAATTATTAGATGAACAAAAATTGTTTTCTATGCTCCATTTCATAATAAGATTATGTCATGGTTGCACATATCATAACCTTGGGAAGTGTTTCTTTTGGTTAAGTGGAGATGTGCCTCTTTGTAATGTCCACCCATTGCTACTCCCTCTTCTGCATTAAGCTGTGGACTCACTTAGAAACAGTTACTGTGTTGGTGATGGTTAGAATCACACATTCACCAAGTGCTGGTTTCCTGGGCATCATGTAGTTGGGGTCCACTCTCCATGAAAGGAGCCAGGAAAGAGCACCAGCCCTGGTGAAAATGAGGGGACAGGGAAGACAGATAAAGAGTCACAAAAGGAAGAGAACTTCACAGCAGCTGTAAAGATAGGTATTGACTGATGATGTGTAACTAGAGATTATCTTCTTCAATTTGCCCTCCACACCTATAAGTAATTTGATAAAACACAACTTGGGGGTTTGGCAGTAATCCATTCAAAAAAACACATGTTGAAATCATAATTGATGTTGCTCAAAGAGAAAGCTCCCTCTTTAACCAGATCCCAACCTCCAGTGGTATCCCAAAAGAAGAGATTTTACTCTCTGTCTTCTGGATTCGTTGAAGCAGCTTAGGATCTCAGGGTGAGGGAAGAACAGGGTTAAAGCGGCTGTCCTCCACACCTCAGCTATTCATTCTCTT